AAAACAAGGATCAATAAAAACATGCAGCTCCATGTAACCTTGTCAGGTCTATGCTCACCATGTGGAGCGCTGTGGGATGCAGATGTTGTAAACTGTACTATACAAATGAAACTAAACATTTGAGTAGGTGATGTCATAGTCGGTCTTGATTGACAGGTGTGTGAGCCAATCACAGAAAGACTGGGTTTCTGATTCTTTCCACTGGAGCGTCACTTCAGGCGAACTTCCTCTGAGTGTGTTCCAGGTTATACATTAATGAACACTGAGAGTAGACCGAGTTTATTCACACTTATTGACGGTGATCGATTGACACACCAACAGTTTCTGTTGACGGTCACACACACACACACACAAACAAACACACACACATTCCTTCACACAGGTACACAGAGTCCCTCCCTGAACACACCGACTTACATCACACTGAACTCTGACCAGCTTATCAGAGAGAGAGGGAGGCGGCGACACACACAGGGACAGAAAGTGAAGTCAAAGAGAGAGAAAACAGCAGAGAGTAGGTGGACATGAACACACAGCGCTCACCTGTCCAGGTACGACACACACACACACACACACACACACACACACACACAGACGGGAAAGACTGTTACTGAAGCTACATCATTAGCGTTACCAGCACAACATGTCAAGCTGACGGTCAATGATCATCCTGAAACAGCTCTGTCTGCGGATCCATTCACAATCTGGTCTGTGCTTCCTCAGCTCACACCTAGGACACTTCTGCACATCCTTCCGTACCCCCTTACTACCTTCTGTGCCTCCTTACTACCTTCTGTGCCTCCTTACTGCCTTCTCTTCCTCCTCAATACCTTGCCTCCTAAAAATCCTCAAACACTCCTTTCCGCCTACAAACACTCCTTTCCTTCTACAAAGCCTCCTTTCCTTCTACAAAGCCTCCTTTCCTTCTACAAAGCTTCCTTGCCTCCTACAAATACTCCTTTCCTCCTACAAAGCCTCCTTGGCTCCTACAAAGCCTCCTATCTTCCTACAAAGCCTCCTTTGCTCCTACAAACCCTCCTTTCCTCCTACAAAGCCTCCTCTCCTCCTACAAAGCCTCCTTGCCTCCTACAAACACTCCTTGCATCCTACAAAGCCTCCTTTCCTCCTACAAACACTCCTTTGCTCCTACAAAGCCTCCTTGCCTCCTACAAACACACCTTTCCTCCTACAAAGCCTCCTTTCCTCCTGCAAAGCCTCCTTTCCTCCTGCAAAGCCTCCTTGCCTCCTACAAACACACCTTTCCTCCTGCAAAGCCTCCTTTCCTCCTGCAAAGCCTCCTCTCCTCCTACAAAGTCTCCTTGCCTCCTACAAACACTCCTCTCCTCCTACAAACACTCCTTCCCTCCTACAAAGCCTCCTCTCCTCCTACAAACACTCCTTCCCTCCTACAAAGCCTCCTTTCCTCCTACAAACACTCCTCTCCTCCTACAATGCCTCCTTTCCTCCTACAAAGCCTCCTTGCCTCCTACAAACACATCTTTCCTCCTACAAAGCCTCCTTGCCTCCTACAAACCCTCCTTTCCTCCTACAAAGCCTCCTTGCCTCCTACAAAGCCTCCT